TAGAGATTCACCCTTCAGGCAAGATGTTTCAGAATCCTGAAGTTTAGTCTTCAATATGGATTAAAGGTCAACATCAAGAAGACAAAGATTCTCATCACTGGGCCGATTGGCAGCACCATGATAGATGGAGAAGAGATTGAGGTTGTTAACAATTATAGCCTGCTCAGCTCCATGATCAACACTCTTGGCACCACTAGCAGTCAGGAACTCAAAAGATGAATTGCACTGGAAAAATCAGCTGATAGGGACCTCTCCAGAGTACTGAGAAGCAAAGATGTCAGTCTAGATACTAAGGTGTGCCTGATCAATGTTCACAGTTACTTGCTATGCATCAGAGAGCTGGATAATGACTAAGGATGACAGCAGAAGAATTGATGCCTTTGAGTTGTGTTGCAGGTGAAGTCTTGAACATATATACCATGGACCACAAACAAAAGAAGTAAGTCTGTCTTAGAGTGAGGGAAACCGCGTTCTCCTTGGAGGCTAGGATTTTGAAGCTCTGTCTCACATACTTTGGCTACATGGCCAGGAGAGATTAGTCCTTAGAGAAGGTCATCATGCTCAGATGGTGGAGGAACAGTGCAGGAGAGGAAGACCCCAGATGAGATGGATTGCTACAGTAAATGAGGCAGTAGGGGTAGGTGTGTTAAACTCAGTGAGACTGGCTCAGGAAAGGGCAGGGTTCAGAGCTGTTGTACACATGGTCACTGTGCATTGCAGGTGACTTGACAGCACGTAACAACAACTTCAGAGCAGCATATCATAGAATCTCACTCTAATTTCCATTGAATTAGAATCAGTTCATAGCTGACCCTTCATTGGACTTCTGGGGCTGTAATCACACAAGAGGAGATTGCCTGTCTTTCTTCCGAGAGTGGCTGGTGAATTTGAATTGCTAGATAAGCTTTGGGGTAGAAGTGCAACTCCCTGTGGACTATGCTACCAGAGTTCCTGTATCACAGGATACCATATCATAGACTGTAATCCAGAAAGTTCAGAGGTAGCATCCTTCATTGTTGTTGTTGTTGTTATGTGCCGTCGAGTCGCTTGCGACTCATAGCGACCCTTTGTACAACAGCCCTAAACTCTGCTCTGTCCTGTGCCAATTGCACTGTCTCTGACACTCCCATCCCGATTACCCCAGTCACTGAATCAGTCCACCTCATAGTGGGTCCTTCCCTGCTGCGCTGTCCCGTCACCCTCCCAAGCATGATGTCCCTCTCTAAGGACCGGTCTCCCCTCACAACATGTCCAAAGTATGTTAGATGGAGCCTCAGAATCCTTGCCTCTAAGGAGCCACCCGGTTTAACCCTTTCCAGGATGAATAGTAGAAAAAAAAAAGTAATGTTTGTGCGTGAAATAAATGAATATACTAAATGAGATTAATAGACTCAGTGTCAGTTCAGATCAGATTTGCAAGCCTTTTTGCTATCACAAGTTTAGGAAAAACGTTTAGGTTTTAGAGCTTCTTTGAGTTTGGAATTACGGATAAGGAAGTGTAGCCCTTTATAAATGTGTGTGACCAAACAAATGACCCATTTTTACAAATTAAGAAACCATAGCTCTCAAATACATGTTAAATTAGCAGGTGTCTTTTTTGGTATCATTAAATATATATTTAAATACATACACCCTTAATTAGATTTGGTTTTCCCTTCTGTAAAATAGAGGAAATGCTGTCTATTCTTTCTGACTCTCAGTTTTTCCATAAGGATCCAATATGAGAATAGATTTGCTTAGAAAAATCAATATACACTAAAGCATTCTGTACATGTTAGGTGACTTGATTTGTAGAGTGCTCTCTCCTAACTTTCCCGTGCTGTTGTTATGTACCATAGAGTAGGAACTGACCCTTAGCTTCTTGCCACTAGACCACCAGAGCTCCTTACAATTATTGGATTACTGTATGAATTGTTTTTAGCTCTGGTGGCCTAGTGGCAAGAAGCTGTACTGCAATTCTGAAGGCCCACAGTTCAAACACACCAGCTGCTCCATAGGAGAAGGATGAACAGTCTCCACCCATGAGATTAACAGCCTCTGAAAACCTGCAGGAAGGTCAGTTATAGGTCACTTTCAACTCTATATAGTACACAGCAACTTCAACCTGTACCAAAGATCAGTAAATATTGAGCTAATGATCACAAGATTGGTGGTTGGAATCCACCGGCTGTTCTTCTGGAGAAAGGTGAGGCACCATGCTTTCTTAAAGATTTAGAGCCTCTGAAACCCCACAGGACAGTTCTGCTCTGCCCTGTAGGATCACTGTGAGTCGGAATCAACTTGACAGAAGTGGCTTTGTGTGGTGATAGGACTTTTGTTTGTTTTTCAGTCTTTTTTCTTTTATTGGTTTGCATATAATACTTTGTTTATATTCTTTTTCATTCATGTATATTGTATTTTATACAGTCTTCTATTTGTATGTTTCATGCATTTATATACATTGCATTTGATGGAATTAATTTCTTTTCATCTGTACCTCTTACTACTCCATCATTTCTAGTCCCCATTGAATTTTTTCCTATTTCTTCACCTCCTCATTTACCCACTAAACTCTGCTATCCTTGTAATTTTCTTTTTGGACGTTTATACCTACCAGTTATCCTTCTGTTTTTATAATAATGGTCTTATGCAGTATTTGTCCTTATGTTAGAACTTTTGAGACTGGCATTTCAATCCATTGACTCAACCCTCTCAGAGGTTGAGCCTTAGTTGAGGCTCCAGCTGCCTTAACTGCTGTCATTCATTAATCAGCATCTTCAACATCATCAATAGCTGCAAGGCCAACATAAGAGAAAGAGTTCACCAGACTGTAGAGGGTCTGTGGTAAGGCGTAGCCAGAGCCAGAGGTTTTGCTTCCTAGAAGGAAGGCAGGCTTGGGATTGCTATGAGATGAAGCTTGCTGAATGATTGAGGAAACTAAGAGGTTCTTGTAGTTGTGTTACTGGACTGAAACTGGATTTTTCACTGTATGATATTCTTTGCCTCTTCTCCCCCACCCCCAGTTTCCCTAATAAGTCCCTTAATTCTGAATAAAAAGAGATTCCATAAATTCTATATGGTCATTTGTGACTAATGGTAGAACCAGAGACTAGTAGGAGTAAGTGTAACAGAAGAGAAGCCCATGCTTAACCAAGGGAGCAGTTTTATATTGTGGATGTTGTTGATGGGGACTGTGGGGACCGTTCCCCTTTGTGGAGTTAGTAGAGGCCATTGTCGGCAATCTCCACATTGTCCTTGCTCCTTTTATAGTTTGATATTGGATGTTGTACGTCTGTGAGAGTTAGAAAGTGAAGGTCTCATTTCTTTGTTCACAGAGAAATAATCCTGGTGGGCTTCATTAGTTGTGCATCTTGGATCAATCAGTGGAAAATACAGGTTTAGGGAGGTTCACTCTGAGATAGTATTATCCAGGAAGTCCTTTAGGAAGATCAGGGAATAGTCAGTGAAGTTAAGTTTTAAGGATATGTTATTGATAGATTGACTTCGTGGAAAATTTCTGTTGCTTTTTAGAAGGAAACCCAAATAAGAACATAGTCATGCTATGCTTTTTAAGAACACATTATTTATGGACTCTCCTGGGATAGGGAACTCTTACCATGGAGGAACAAACTGGCCTTGCATTTAGAGAAGAATAGATATGTTTGTGCTCTCCCCACCTTCTGCTGCAGTCTCTTCCCAACAGACCTTCCTCAGTAAGAAAGGAAAGCTTTCTGAAACCATTAGGTGAGCAGGATTGCCCATCTCAGGTTAGTTAGCAGTCTGTCTTCCTTGTTAGTTTTACAGCAGAGGTCATCAAATAAATCAGCATTCTTGGAAGAGGTTAAAATTTATATGAGTGAAAATAGCTTTAGTGGTTTCAAGTACTTGCCTAAAATTGGAAGTGTTAGCAGTCTAGCTTTGGGCAACAAGTTGACCTACCGACTGGCTTCATGAAGACCACCTCCCCATTCTAGTGATAAAATTATTCCTGACAGTGGTGGGCAGAGGCAGTCAGGCTCGAAGACAGAGAACTCATTGTCCAGAGATCTCAGAAGAGCCTTTGCAAACACACAGAAGGGATTTTAGAACAATTTGCATAAATCTCCCCTTGGATAGCGACATGGCTCCAGTGTTGGGGTGGTTCCAGGAACCCCTCCTTGGCTGTATCACGAGGTGACGCTGGACTTGGTGAGAATTCAGCCTCATGAAGGATTTTGCCAGTAGGATTGGGTGATGTGTCACTGAATAAGCCCACTGTTTGGTTCCTCATAAGGGCTCTTTTGTGTTGGCCTGGGGCAGCCATGTTCAAGTTTGTCTTGCCTTTTCCCTTGGTGATGTGTTTGGACTTTGTGGCCTGGAGAATTAAGCACAATACCTATTCTGAGCTAATCTGTCCAATTTTGCTGTTGCAAGGTTAACCACAAGCTCTCATATATGTAAAATGTGCAATATAATAGTCATAAGTTTAGAGACTTTGGATTTGTTGAATTAAAAGTTGGGGTACAGGGAGGGAGGAGGAAAGAGAGAGCTTCCCTGGCATGCCCAGGTACCTTGGTGTCCATGCCGTGCATGGGAACTATGAGAAGTGCTTCCCTGCTGTGTGCTAATGTGCTTTGCCTTGTTCATCAGATTATTTTAAAAAAATATATTTAAAAAATATATGCTTCAGTATTTCCCTGTGAAAGGGTGCAGGCCACTCTGGAGTATATTAAAAAATATGGAGTAGTTAGGGATCTGTATCAACTTTTCTTTTCCCTTTTTATTTTAATGGGATACATTAAACACTGGATATTAAGAACTGTAACTGCCAGTTTCTTGCACAGAGTGTTATCATTCTAGAAGCCACATAGGGGTCTAATTTTAAATTCAAGAAGTAGTTTATGCATTTGGGGAAATTTGGTGATTTAAGTACTAAACTGATATCTACTCATTTTTAACCTAGAGTTTATTTTCATTCAGTCTGCTAGTTTGATTTCTCAGCTTTGTTCTAATAATACCAACATTTTTATGTTTATTTGTAGGTGACTTTAACCAAGAGAGCAGATCCAGCAGAGCTAAGAACAATATTTTTGAAGGTCAGTATAAAAGAATCTATTTTGTTTCTTGTGTAATTTGTGTTCTCTAACCTCTAAAGATTATTTTCAAAAAGGTTTTTGTTTCATTGTTGTAATTTTAAAGATCACCTAGATATCTTTATTTAAGACTTAAGAAAGAGATCCTTTACAGTTTTATGGATTTTTTTTTTCATGGATACAAAACCATCTCTTTTATTCTAAGAAGTTGACAGACAGCTCTCTGCAAACATCTGAGTAACCTCTGTTCATCCAGAGAGGTATGCACTTGTCTTTTCTTGCTAGGAACTACTATCATCTGTATCCATTTTATTATATCCATAATACACTGTAAGAAGATGTCATTATGAATTGTGCAGATACTAGATCATAGTGGGCACCTTGCGTGTGTGTTACCTGAGATTCTTCCTCTGTTATCTATTTGGAATGTTGTTTGAGTGGTGAGTAAATCTACCTTGACTGATGCAAATTTAAGGTAAGCACTCTGTTAGTCAAAGGTTGGTAGAAGGTAGAAGACTTGAATGAAAATATTAGAAATTCTTTGAAGAATAATTTGATGGAAATGCCTGATCTTGTATAATTAGAGAGAAAGAACAAGGAGTAAATGCAATCTCAGATACATAGCCTGGAAGCAGAGATGCTGATAAAAAGAATAAGGAAATCGAAGAAGGACCCTGTAGCTATAGGGGAAGAATGGGAAATGATGTGTCCTGGTTAGAGACCTTTAGTGTCTGAGGTAACTAAATGCCTGTGGTGAAAGATTTAGAAGATCTGATTGGAAAATGAATATAAGTTCCAGAAAAGGGAAGTGGGACTTATCACAGAGTAATAGTGAGGTGCGTTTGGATTTCAGTGCTTATTCTTTGTCAGCAAAAGCATAATATAATTTACTTTTTTGCTCTTCTAGTCACCATCAGTTCATTTTTATTAATGACAATTTAGAAGGCAGATATATGAAAAGAAAAGTAACTTCGTGTTTTTGTTTTAGTACAAGTGTAGGTTGCTTAATATCCATTTTGGCAATATCCCACTGTATACCACATATATGTCCACCAGGACACCAGACCCTCAGAGCCACACTCCAGCCTGACTGCTGACGGCTGGGCATTGGCTTCATCTGCTGCAGACGAGACTCACGCCATAACTTCAACCTTGATCTTGACTTTGAGACTCAGTGTGTCAGTTGTTGCTTTTTGTTGCCATAAAGTCAACTACTGCTCATAGCAAGCCCATGAATAACAAAGCTGAACTCTGCCCTTTCATGCACCATCCTCACTGTATCCACCATGCACGAGCCCATTGTTACAGTCCCTGTGTCAGTCCATCTTGTTGAGTGAGGGTCTTCCTCTCTTCTCCGGCCTCCCTCCTTTCCCAGCATGATGTCTTTTTCCAAGCACTGGCCTCTCCTGACAACATGTTCAAAGCAGATGATACAGAGTTTTACCATCCTTGCTTTTAAGAAGCACCTTGGCCTCTAAGACATGCTTGTTTGTTCTTTTGACAGTCCATGGGATATTCAGTACTCTTCTGCACATTTCAATGGCATCGGTTTTTCTTCTGTCTTTTCTTTATTCAGTGACAAAATTTAGAATCCAAAGGCAACAATTGAAAACCCATGACTTGGATCAGGTGGTCTTTAACCTGACATCCTTACTTGTTAGCACTTTGAAGAGGTCCTTAACAGCAGATTTTCCCCGTGCAGGTGCACTTTTGGATTTCTTGACTGCTGCTTTTACGGTGTAGAAGTAAAATGAAATTGTTGACAATGTCCATATTTTCTCCATCTGTCATGTTGTTGCCTATTTATCCAGTGTAAAGATTTTTTGTTTTCTTGATTTTGAGATGTAATCCATTTTGAAAGTTGTAATCTTTGAACTTTTTTCGTAAGTTCAAGTCTTTCATTTTCTACAAGCAAGGTTGTGTCACCAGGCTGTTGATGAGTCTTCCTCCAAAATCCTAATGCCTTATTCATCTTCATATAGTCCAGCATACAGATTGAATAGGTGTGGAGAAAGGGGATAGCCTGACACTGACCTTTCTCAGTTTTAAGCCATGCAGTGTTCCCTTGCTCTATTCAGACAACTGCTTTTTGGTCTATGTATAGGTTTCTCATGAGCATAATTAAAATGTCTGGGATTCCCTTTATTCTCAGGGTTTTCTATAATTTATTAGATCTACACCGTTGAATGCCTTTGCATAGTCAATTAAACATGAGTAAATAATTAAACATAAAAAAATGTCTTTCTAGGGGAGTCTAGTCCCTGCATTTTGCCCAGCATTCCAGCCCTGTCTCAGATGTCTTCAACTCCCCTTGGCCTTCATCCTTCTCTCCTTGGGCAGAGAGAGAAGGGGCAGGCTGAGTTTCCCTGCAGCAGGCTTGGCAGAGCCAGTCAGGACTCAGCAAAACTCTCACCTGAAGCAAAAGGCGTCTGTAGGTACAGTGGGAGCAGCCATCCAGCAACCTCCCAGAACCCCCGTACTGCGCTTTAGAGACACAAGTGTTTATGAAATGTCCTTCTTCCTCAGAAGGTATCAGGAAAGTGAAACAATACATGTCTGTATAGATCCTTTTTTTTCTGTTTTAATAAAAATTACTCTTCTATCAAATTTTCCCTCTCATCAAATATATTACAAATACCCTTTCCTGTGAATGAATTTCTGCAACATTTACCTGCTATGTGGTTTTTCTCTGTATAGTTGTTTTATTTAACTAGGCCCTATTATTAAGTCTTTACTTTTCTCCTCTGTGTTGCTGTCATAATAACAGTATAGATATCCTTGTACCTACAATTTCAAATCTGTCTAGCATCATTCTCTTAGGATAGATTCCTAGGAGTGACCTTGTTGGGTTAATGGGTGCTGTCCTAGTTATTTAATACTGCTGTATTAAAGTAACACTTTAATGATGGTGACTATTTTCTCATAGTAAAGGAGGCTGCTGTTTCTGTGTACAGTGGAGTCGGAACCCACCCGTAGCTGACCCTCTTGTGGGTTTTCAATAGCAGTAAATCACATGGGAGTTGATTGTCCAGCTTTCTTCTTCAGAGCAGCTGGTAGTGAATTTGAACTGTGTACCTTCCATTGGCAGCCCAATTCCTTACCGCTAAGCCACCAGAGCTCCTTAGGAAGCTAGAATCCCAGATTCACAGAATGATTTTAAGGGGAGGGTCGATCATTGTTTAGTAGCCTCCATCAGTCCTGGCAGCTTCTGGATCTGGGCTTGTGGGTACATCTGCCTTAGTCTGTTGCACTCTTCTTCTTTGTCTCTGTTTAAAGTGCTCTTTTTAAAAAAAAAATTTATTTATTTATTTATTATTTTATGTGTGTACCGTCAAATTGGATCTGAGTGGTACAGGAGGCGATTGTTCCTCCTTCTTCAGCAGAGCATCTGGTGGATTTGAACCGCGCACCTCTTAAAGTGCTCTTTTTATAACATCGAAATAGTTAGATTCAGGATCCTCATTCCTTGTATGACCTCATTAGCATAAAATTCTTATTTCCAAACTCAAGTCATGTTTTTATTGTTGTTATTGTGTACCACAGAGTCAGAAACAACCTATAGCTGACCTTCTGGAGGGTTATCAGAGGCATTTAATCGCACGGGAGGAGGTTGCCCATCCTTCTCCCACAGAGCGGCTGGTGGCCTCAAACTGTGTGCCTTCAGGACTGCAGCAGAACTTCTTGCCCCTAGGCCACCAGAATTCATCAGATCCTATCAACTGTGATTCATTGTGGACCCAAGTATATCAGAATAGAACTGTCCTCCTTAGGGCTGTCAGTGGCTAGCTCTTCAGCACAATAACCAGGCATTTCTTCCAAGATACCTTTAGGTGGACTCACACTTAGAGTCTTTGCAATGAAATGATTAATAATAATATTATTAATAATGTCATTATTTTTAAATTTATTGTTATTAATGAATTATTAAACAGTCAACCAAATGATTAAGAAGGATAACGAAGGTTCTCATGGTATGATGCATACCAAGTAATTGCAAAGACCATGGCCTAAATCAGAAGCACCTTAGTCTCCATATTGACATTGTTACTTTTCAGCACTCTAGAGTGGTCCCTATCAGCAGATTTTTCCCAGTGCAATTAGTCTTTTGATTTCCTGACTGCTGGCGCCAAGAGTTTTGATTGTGAAGTCAAGCAAGCTGTAATTGTTAACAACCTCAGTCTCTTCTCCATCTATCATGGTGCTGTCAAAAATTGTCCCAGTTGTGAGAATCTTTGTCATCTTGATGTTCAGCTTCAATCCATAATGAAGACTACAGTCTATGCAACAGAGAGCTGTACAGTGACCAAGAATGACAGAAGAAGGATCGATGCCTTCGAGTTGTGCTGCAGGAGAAGAGTCTTGAACATAACCATGGACTTCCAAGAAAACAAATAGGTCTGTCTTGGAGAGGGTATAACCAAGTTTCTCCTTGAAGCTCCATATCGCATGTGGCCAAAAAGGACTGATCCTTGGAGAAGGACATCATGCTCAAAAGGGTGGAGGGACAACACAGGAGAGGAAGACCTCAGATGAGATGGATTGATACTGTAAATAGGGCTGTGGCGGTTGGTGTGTTGGAATTAGTGAGAATAGCTTAGGACAGGGCAGGCTTCAGGCTGTCCATAGGGTCACTATGGGTCACAGGTGACTCATTGACACATAACCTCAACACAACAACTCTTGGTCTAGTGTGTAAGGAGTTGCATTGACAACCCAAAGGCCGACAGTTTGAATCCACCAACTCCGCCATGGGAGAATGATGGACAGTGTCATCCCATGCCGTTTACAGCCTCTAAAAACCTCCTGGAGAGTAAGCTCTGAGTCAGTTTAACTCAGTGACACATACAACAACAACAACAAATGATGTGGTAGAAAAAAAAGTCAGAGGACCTTCTCCCTAAATTATATAGGAAAGAACTATTCCAATATATTAAAATTTAAGAATAAAAAACCACAATGAAAAAGCTAAGTGAAAATGTCATAGAATAACTAGCCTTGACATGGGGGCAGAACTTACCTCTAAGCTTAGAAGTCACAGAAGAAATCACAAAGGAACAAACATCCAGATACTCAATAATATAAAAATATCAAACTGGAAAACTATTTATAGCAATATGATAGACAAAAGTGGGGGGCAGGGTAAGTTCCCACACTGTTGGTGGGAGTATAAATTGGTGCAATCTTTTCTGGAGAGCAGTGTGATAATAAGTATCAGGAGCCTTAAAGTTCTTGTCCTTTGACTCAACAATTTTCCTTCCAAGAGTCTAGTCTTTGAAAATTACCAGGAATTGGGACAAATATTATGTTCAAAACTGGTTACCTTAGCTTTATTGAAACTACCCCAAACTGAATAATGTAAAATGTCTAATGGCAGGAGAAGAGTTAAATTATGTTTTAAAGTAAATTAATTATTTGCTGTGATAAGCAAAACGTTCAGATGAACTTAAAAATCATAGGATTGCTGTAATTAGTGGTGACATTTTCTTCAAATTTCAGGCTTGTTTTGCTTCAGTTAGGAAAATTAAAATACTGTTTTTCTGTCTTCTTACCTCATTCTTCTGTGAATTAAATGTTAACCAAAGTATAATAGAATGATTGGTCTACCTTTGCACTGTTCTCTTGCACTGTGCTAAAGAAAATTTGTAAATTACAAACAGTCCTTTAGAACATTTATAGGGTGCTTGTTGCATGAGCAGTACTTAGGACCTGATTATGTGTTTCTGGCATTAACTTTAGGAAGTTGGTGGTGTTATCTCCATTTCACAGATAAAGAGAGGCCTGGAAAATCTGTGACATACCAAGGCCTCTTAACCAGTGAGAGGTAACCCATTGACCTTTAGTTGGGTCTGATTCATGGTGACACATCACCAATTTCTGATACTGTAAATCTTTATGGGAGGAGTTTGCCTCATATTTTTCCATGAACTGGCTAGTGGATTTGAACCACTAACCTTTTGGTTTGCAGTTAAAAAAGTAACACACAACAGGCAGAGACCTAAGATAGGCACTAACAGTGGGACACAGAAAAAGCACTGTGAGTTGTTACTAAATATCTAAGATGAGGCTTGTTTTGTATTGAGTTAAAATGTAGAAAGCACAGTGACAGTCTAGCACTGTGACAGTGACAGTCTAGCACTGTGAGTTGCAGTTGACAGCACAACATGAAATCATGGAAGGGGAAGAGATGCTGGCCTGGAGCCTCATTTCATTGAGTACAGCTCAGCTTTCATGGCCACCAACATCATTCTTACCATCCAAGTAACACTGTGACAACCACACTGCCTTTATCGACTTCTTCCATGTCACTCTTTTTTTTTTTAAATTTTATTTTTTATTTTAATCGAAGTTTTCAGAGACTTTAGATTTCCGTTCATTCATTGTTGCACATTTTCCTCCCTGCCTGCCTTTCCCCTCCCAGTTCATTTTTCTCTTTGAAAAGTAAAAAAATATTCTTTCATTGTTACACAATTCCCCACCCCAGTCCACTCCACTATGCAGTTTTTCATTCATGACTCTTGTCATGACAATAATGCCTAATCATGTATTCCTACTAAACAGTTCTCCCTCATCTGTTTCAATGCAGTATACATTAATTAAACCCTCTTAGATCCCCCCAACCCCAATGTCAGTCCCATTTTACAACAGTGGCACTGTGCAGTATTTGTCCTTTTGTGGCCGAGATATTTCACTTAGCATAACATCCTCCAGGGTCAACAATTTTGTATAATATTTCA